ATACTCAACTGCCCACATACAAGGAGTCTGGTACATGTATCGCTTTATTACCAGCCTGATCTTTAACTCACTCTTACAGTTTGAAAGAGTTACACTGTAGTTATTTTGATAAAGTTTTTACTGTCTTTGTATTGATTTGGGTGTTAGACAAGACAGGAAGACAGGAAGGGCAAAGTGCACCTTACAAGAGCAGAAAAACAACAGCAATGGATAGATCGTGAATTAAGTGATGTAAGTTCTGTTTACAGCAAACTATCACTTGAATGTACGTCATGAAATAATTATTTTAAGAAGTCAGTATCTTTATGTGGTGCGATTGGAAAACCATTTTCTCAAGTAATTTGAAGCTGTACAAGAAGAAATGCCTCCTTTCTAAAAATTTAACAAAGGTCAGGTTTTTGTAACAGTTTTATGTAAGATTGGGACAATTCAATTTGATAGCTGAGAATACAGCACTCGTCATTCCTCCTTGAGTCCTTTTTTTCATTGCTACCTCTACACTACATGTCATGTAAACATGGAAAATGCTCNAGGGGTCGTTACTTTTACAGGAATTCTGCAGTGTTTCGGACTGGCATCTTATTACCGGTACATGAAATTTTCGCGACATGTCGCGAATTTCGCGAAGTGACGCGAACAATAAGTGTCGCGAACATAAAATGACGCGAAAATTAAGTGACTCACATTACGTTACTGTTGACATAGAGTCCCGCCGTTGCGTCTTTGTTTGTTTTGGCGTTATTGCACCTAAAATAAAGTCGGTTTACTAAATTTAGGGACATGTTAAAGTAACATTGCCTAGGAAGTAAATTGTGTGTTACTCAATAACGCGAAGTTAAAGTGATTCAAATTACAAAATTTTCGCCAAATCGTAGAGTTTAAGTGTCCCGAAATGAGCGTACCCCAAAATCGCGAAATAAACGTGTCGCGAGAATTTCATGTAATAAGGTAGATTCATTGCAGTATTGAGTGCCTATGAGATCCTCTTGGGCTGATTTCATTCTATGCCAGTAATTAACAAACGAATGCCAAGTCCTTACTAAGGGACCCAGATTCACGGGGTTATTTCAGTTGGATTAGTAATACAAAGCCCAAAGCCTAACACAGAGGTTTACTATATAAAAACAACAAATTCCAGTTATCTAGCTCTTTATCAAATTATCCAAGAAGTTAACGCGACCTGTGTTGACGTTAGCTTCAAGCAATTAGAGCTTAGCTTGTGATGTAACATTAATTTTTGATGATATTGCTTTGTAATTACGAGATGTGAAACATATTATAAACAGGAGTGAAAGAGTTCCCGGGTGTGCTTTAAAGCGCCATGTAGAGGTAGGCGCAAACGTGTATGCAGTACTGCCATATAGCAAATGAATACTTGAACTACTGTATGAGAAAACCTTGTGAGGTTTTCCTTGAATCTGAGAGGATGGTAATATGTTTTTTAGGCTCGGTGCTGCAGACCACGCCTCGCAGGATCTCGTCAAACTACTTGGCTTGTCCTCATCAAGAAAACCTACGGTAAATGAAGATTCTTGATTCTATTTTATCAACAATTCTTTGTATTTATCAGCGCAAGTACGTTTTGTAGTCAAGCTGAGCCCGAGATCGCAATTCATTTCTTTATTTCGTTTGATTTGAATAGACTACTTTTTTGTAGCATTACACTTGTATTCATATAAACTGTAAATGACTTATTTATACATGTAACAAACAAAAGATTTCAAGAACTCCTTAATTGCAGAGTGCCGATGCTCCAGATCGAATTGGGGTTCAGAGCTTTGGGGCATTTTCTTTTTGTCATTTTCTTTTTGTCAATGCATTCTTGTTCAGGCTTTTTGGAATTAGAATTTTAGTAGTATTGTTAATCTGTTGTCACTGTGCATGAAAATTCTCAGTAAAATTTTATCGACTGACGCGGGAAAAGCCGTTGTATCTTATCTATTCATTACGTTATGTTTTAGGAAAGGCTTCAAGGCGAGGAAGAAAATGATGATTTACCACCACTTCTCCAGGTCTGATCTCTTGATTATTTAACAATTAGTCCCTTCACCCCTGTTCAATACAAGGTGACAAATAGCAAAACAGGCAAGTGGCGCCGAGTAACGCGCCGAGGTTGTTATAATTTAAAAGGAGTTTAAAAACCACGACGTGACGCGGAGGACAACGTCGATTAAAAGATGATTTTATATTTTACGGACGAATCTCGGGATACTCTTAAGTCATTTTCCTTTGTTTCTCGGTGTCAGAACTATAATCAAAGTGAATCTGGGGCATGGCGAAACGCTTGAAATTAACAATAAAAAAACTAGCCGGCGTGGTTCACGTTCTGGGGACAACGGAAAATTTGGTCATTTCACGTTGTTTTGTAGAGCGCGGCAAAGAAATGTACTAAGAATCACAACGCACGTCAATTCTTCTTTAGGTGGCTGGCAACAGTCTACAGCAGTTGATATGCTTTGACGGATTATTGCTGCAACACTTCATCAAATGATGGCACTCTCGACAACGACAAAATCATGTCACCAGCCTGGTTTTTNGTCACACATACAAAATATAATATATACCAGAAAGTAAAGAAGAAAAGAAGCTGAAATTACACGCGTGATCTATTACCTTAAATAAAAAAATATATTTGAACTGAACAATGAAGAATATCAAATAAATAATGGTAAGGCGTTGCAAAAGCAGTGATAATTATTATCTTAATGTGAAAAAAAAAGAGAGAGAGAATTGACTAGTAGCTTTGGAGAAAGCTCTGTTTCAATTTAACTTTGAATGATGAAATTGGCAAGTGCTTTTGAGGTTGGACAAAACTATCATGAAATTGAATCTGGGGCGAAACGTTTGAAATAAAAATAAAAAAAACTACATGTAGCCGTCGTGGCTCACGTTCTGCGGACAACGCAGAATTTGGTCATTTCACGTTGTTGTCCTGCAGAGGACGGCAAAGAAATGTACCAAGAATTATAACGCATGTCAATTCTTCTTTAAGTGGCTGGCAATAGTCTCCAGCACTTTCCAGCGGTTATGCTTTGACGGATCATTGCTGCCACACTTCATCAAATGATGGTACTCTCGGCAGCGAAAAAATGTCACCAGCCTGTTGTTTTTTTACATTTCTTTTCTTTATTGTTCCAGGCACTTGCTCGTCACAGCACTACCGACAGGGAAAGAGATCAACGAAAACAAAGAAGACTTCAAAAAGAAGTTGAATCCAAGGACGATCAAGATGATTCAGCCAGTGTCACTTCCAGTATACACTCAACAGAGGCGTCCTCAGTGGCTAATGATCCAACTGTACTTGATGAAAAGTAAGACTGCTTCTCTCAGTTTCCAAGTTCTGCATCCTTCAGTCTTTGAGACCTCCACGGTATATTGTTTTCACATTTCACTTAAAAGTGATTTCAGTACATTCTGATGGCGAAGATTTTTTTAATAATATGAAGCCAAGGAACTTCAGCTAGAAAAATCAAGAGCTCTGTTTCGAGTAAAATTGAACAACAAAAGCTAACTCAACGAATGTGTAATAGTTTGAAATTCTTTGGGGATTATTTGTTTAGAAGTCTGAATTATCAATACAGTAGTTTTAACACAAATTTTCCTTTTTTCCCTGGCTGGGGTAAACAAGAAATGTTGGTCACGTTAGGTCCTTTCCTTTATACAGCTAACTTCCTTCTTAATGTACCATGATATGCGCTAGTTTAGCAGACTTTTTTTTTTACGGAAATTTAGGGAAGAAATATGCCAGGGTTTTAGTTTCATATGTTCTTGTTTTCATGTGGTTTTTATTTTCTACATTTCAGTATCACAGAATTTACCGGTGAAGAGGTTAGTAGACTCTTTTCTTAAAAAATGTTTTTCACAGTACTGAGGCCTCGAACGTTGATGCGAGTTTAACTGCAGTTTATGGATAAGTGTTTCACATATTCATTACGTTTCGACTTTTATCCACAATAGCATCCACAGCCTGCAGTGGTCTCATTGCGACTTCCTGATAAGGTAAGTCATGTTTACATAATCCTGATAAGCGTGGAATGCAACTCAGACAAAATTAATTGATATTGATTATGAACACTGCAGACGCTTGCAACTATTTCTAATCAATGAAGCTGATATAAAGAAAATTCGTGTAAACCGGCTGAATCTAACTATTCTGCAGGTTTAAGTCAAGACAGTTATTTCCCCATCGGAATCAATTTGTATTACAACTTTTTATGTCACCGAGTATCGATGTAATTCAATTGAGTTCGTAGAACAGAACACCTTTGGCAATTGTAGTTAGAACACTTCATTTCTCACCCTGACGTGAATCATTACTACTGTATAGTCTATATTTCCCCCAGTAAGATACCGTTATTAAGAATAGTCGAAGTGTGCAAGGTCTACAAGAAGTGGTAAAATATACCCACCTAACAATGTTAGAATAACATGCCGCGGCATCATTTCCCTTGGTTTTTTTTAAAAATTTGTCCCCACTGGTGCTTGGTTGAAAGAAGCTTTTAATATAATATCCTTTTTAACAACTATGTAAATGCACTTAAGGTGGCCGAACACAGTTTTCGCGCGCGCTTTTGCTGATGCAATTGAGCGCGCGCACAAGGATTGCAAAGAGCGATCATTTTATTTACTCAA